GTGACTATCATGTCACATGTTTCCACCCCTTTACCACCCGAACCTCTAACCCTGATCCTCTCCCTCCCCCAAAAAAAATTCTAATTGGTTCAGAAAGAATTAAGTTTTTCAAAAAAGATTCTTCCTTATCTGCACTGCTTTATCTGTTACAAAACATTGCCTTTGATTAGGAATTTAATTAATCTACCTCCCAAGTGCATGTGGGAGGTGGGAGATATATCCATCCAGATGATAACACCATCAAAGATGAAAGCCATAAAATGTCTTTTTTCTTTTTCATTTTTATTTTTCAAAAGAAATAATTTCAGACACACGCCCGCAAAGGGATAAACATAGTTTTAGCAGCTCAGAATGTTAGTGTAAAGTATAATGGGAGGCAGTGAACACATTTCCTTAGTGAGATAGTCCCATCTGATTTAGAAGAGAAAAAAATGGAGCTTTCAAGAGGATAATGATAGAAACATTTCCTTTGTTTACACTTCCATCACATCTCAGCAGAGTGTACACAGAAATTAGGGCACCCTAGAACAGAAGCATTTACGTGGTCTTTCAGATAGCCCTCCAACTAAGCTTGCCTTGATTTATGGAAATAATAAATCTTCACAAACCTAACAAAATACCATCCAAAGCAAGCATCTTTTCTCATCAAACTGCAGTTTTCATAGTGGTTGCTTTTTATTATTTTACTGACTAATATGTTGGCCTTTGAAAACATCAGAGTGCTCAGAAGTATTAGCATACCTTTCTACTGATCATTTCACACAACAGCCAAAAATAGTCATGCCGGAGAAGAACGTAGCATCCTTTATAATAGTTTTGGTAGAATAACAATGTGAATAATAACTCATCTAGCTGCAGTGATAGAGAAATCATGGAAGGCAGAATTAAGGTACCTAATGTGGCCAGTTCGTGGATGCCAGCACCATTATATGATAAAGTTTCTTTTAAAATTAAGTGGCGGTCATGCCATCTTCAATATAATATACAGCAATATGAAACAGCATTCCTAAAGTGTAAAAGATTCACGTACACTGATTGGAGATGAACCCACATTGGAAATACAGATGTGAATGATCCTAAACTTCAGGGATCTTTGAATCTAGATCCATTGTTAATTTTTGTGAACTATTTATTTATTTAAAATATTTTCACCCTGCTGCTCTATTTAAAATATTCAAGGTGGCTTAGAAAATTTTTTAAAACACAATACAAATATATATTAAAAAGTAAAAATATGAGACCCCAGAGGGACATAAAACCTGCCAAAAAGTCTCAAGCAGAGGGGTTAACTAGATATTGTTAATTTAAGATGTGTAGGAAGGCAGGCCTGGGGACCTATCTCATAATTTATCACAGAATGAAAACATTGCTTAGAGGATTTAGTAAAACTAGGGGGCTGCTCCCCCCTGCTTGCCACATTCGCCAATCCCCTCTCCCTGGGGGTAGGCGGACATAAAACCTGCCAAAAAGTCTCAAGCAGAGGGGTTAACTAGATATTGTTAATTTAAGATGTGTAGGAAGGCAGGCCTGGGGACCTATCTCATAATTTATCACAGAATGAAAACATTGCTTAGAGGATTTAGTAAAACTAGGGGGCTGCTCCCCCCTGCTTGCCACATTCGCCAATCCCCTCTCCCTGGGGGTAGGCAGCTGCCTCTACCCCCTGCCACTGGAAAGGGCTAGGCTGAGGTGTGGCGGACCCTTGCCGGCCC